GTGTGTGTGTGTGTGTGTGTGTGTGTGTGTGTGTGTCTGTGTGTGTGTGTGCCCCACTGAAGCCACCTGCTAGAGAGGCACTTCCAAGCCCAGAAAGGGAAGGACAGATAAACCTTTCAATTTTAGGCATAGAGAAATGATGCAATTTGGGTTGCTTGCCCACTTTGCCGTCCTCCGCCGAATAGAATGCAGGTTCATTATAGCTGTATTTGGGGCAACGAAACTGGATACGGTGATGATGACCGATTGTTCTGTTGGGGTGGAGACGGCAGAAAGTATGGGAAAGGCAACAAGGGAGCCCATTGGTGCACTCTTTCAGTTCACGGAAAGCTCTGTTGACGGATGTGTCTTTCAGGTATGTTAAGGACAAGATGATATCGTCAGGAATGGGAAGGGAAATACCTACTTTCAAGCATACGATTGGGAAGGATAGATAAACCTGTCGCATTCAGTTGTGGAGAAGTTATGCAATTTGGGTTGCTTGGTCACACCACTGTCTTATCCTGAATAGAAGACATGGTCGTCATAGCTCATCATAGCTGTATTTGGGGCAACTTCCAGGTCATCGTAGTTGTATTTGGGGCAATTTCCAGGCTGGATATCCGGGTGAACATGGGAGAACCTTCCGGACTGAATCTGGTCGTACCCACCCAGTGGTGCACCCTGCCAACGCTGGATGTCCGGGTGAAGAGGGTAGAACCTTCTGGACTGAATCTGCGCGTACCCACCCAGTGGTGCACCGTGCCGATGCTCGTAGTTTGTTGGTGGTGTTGTGTGTGCATGCTGGGTGCCTGGTGATAGTGGCCTGCACGGTTACCATTTTAGATGTTTGCGTGTTGCCTAAGTGTTTATTCCGTTATTGCATGGGTGTAATGAATGATTCTCTTTGAATGTTATGTGCATTGCTGTCTGCTCAATCACTGAAGGGGGGAAAGTTCAGAGTCCATAGCCTCGACTTCTTTGATTGACTGCGCATTGCTGACGGCCTCGTTGCAAATATGTATTGTTCTGTGAACAGTGACTTGGGCAGTATCTGTGTACTTCGCATATCAGAGAGCATGGAAGCCCTTCAATCCAATTCTTGGAGAGACATATGAAATGGAAGGTCACAATGGTACCAGGTTCATTGCAGAACAGGTACGGATTCTACGGAACCATTTCTGTTTGTGTTAGAAACCGAGCTGAGTGAGCAATTAAGGAAACTGGACTTTCTGGAATGTATCTGATTGCGTTTATTGCTGGATTCGGTTCTTTTATTACTGGATTCAGTCAGCCGATGTAAGTCCTAGTGTGAGTATGCTCTCAGAAGCGGCAGGTCACCAAGAATTGCCCGCAGTATTGAAAGTTTTGTCTGTTTTTGACGGAAAGTCGATCTGGTTTATGACGTGTTTATTGATATAAAAGTCGTCTGTGCAATCAGACTCGCTTTCATTCACACTTTTCATGCATGCAAACAGTAATGCAGCAAACTGGCGACATGGGCCCACTCGAAACTCGGAGATATGGCAACCCAGATACGAGTTCACTTTCAATGGCTATGGCGACTCAGCGCCCAGACAACTCTCTGTTTGCATACACCGGATCACCCTGGATATCCCACACATGTCTCTCTGAACACTCACACACACACGCTGAATACTAACTACAGCTATGGTGGCTATGGCCACTCTACCCTATCGCTATGCGACGCTCCTTCTCTCTCGCCCACTTCGGCTCCGGGCTCACTGCAGACCTCCTTGCACAAGTCGCTGTGGCAGCGCTTCCGCATGGCKCACGCAGGAATGAATGAATGGCTGGGCGCTGCCTCTTGATTTATACTTCTGAAGCTCGTTGGTCTGCCCCTTTCCATCGGCCCATGGTGCACACAGTCCCTCATGGTACTTGCTGGACTGGACTGGGACTGACTGGACTGCACCGCTGACTGCTTGGGGTCTCACTGCTAACCTACTGAGGTCGTACTGCAATCGTACTGCAGTTAGTCCACCACTTGGCTCACCACTTGGCCACTTGCCCACTTGCCCACTTGCCGACCTTCTAGAAGGACTACAGCTAAGACTTCTGGAACTCGCTAAGACTTCTATTCGACAGACCTACAGATTGAACCCCTACAACCTACGGTCTTATGACAGCCTACCAGTTGCTTACGAATACACAGGTCACGGGTTCAACTCTCGGGGTCTACACAGGTACTGTACACGGTAGGGTAAGGACTAGGGATTGAGCCCTGGGATCTGCATCTGCTACTGCAAAGGTGAAAACCGTTTCATCTGTGTGTCCGATAGGAGCAAAACTGCCCATGGATGGATTGGTCCATTTGAAAGCATGCCAAAGGAGAAAAATTATGGTCGGTCATTTGCTTGCCAGAGTCTTGGGGGGCAAACTGCATGATGGGGAAAACTACTTCGTGGAAGGTATTTTTGAGGTTTGGGTTAAATTATAGGCTGTGATCATAATGAGGTGGGGAGTCGTGTATGCGCTAACTGCCTGCCAAATGGCATCACCGTTTTTTTTTTGGTTGTTTTTTGTGTGCATGTGTGCATGCATCTGCGTGCATTGTATGTGTGATGGGGGATGGGGGAAGGGGGAACGCAGGGCCGGGGAGAGAATGGAGTTTAGTAGGTAGGACCTTGACAATGACTGTGATTTAACCAGACAGGACTTGAGCTCTAGCCTGTTGAACAATGATCCTTGGTGTGTGTCATTTGGCCACTAGTAGGCCGGTACAGGTGGAAGCCTCACAGCAAGCCATGTTAATGGGGTTCGCTATTTCGCTCTTATTGTGATAGGTGAGCCACCATCCTCCAATGGGAGCTGCTCATGCAGAGAACGAACATTTCATTTATGACATCACATCAAAGCTGAAGACGAAGTTTCTTGGAAACTCTCTGGATGTCTACCCTGTTGGAAGGTGTAGTAGCGCGAAACCTGCTTTGGTTCTCTCCTTCATGTTGATACAAGCGAGTGCCACCTTAACAGTGTGAATGTCTGTTTTGCAATGATGAAGTAACAAAGCGATTCCATTTTTTTCTTTTTCTTTTCACGTTTGTTAATTGTAAGGTAGAAAAAGGCGACATCAGAAATGTTTACTACGAGCAGAAACAGAAGCCCACATGAACAACAAGAAGCAGAAACAAGGAAGAAGAGAAGCAGAGGGAAGCATGAAAGAAGCAGGTTAAAGAATGCTGAAAAAAAGTACAGTATGAAATAAACATATGGTGAAGTAACGTATGTGCCAGAGGGCCTATGCGTCGGTTGGTAATGCACACAAGATGGATCCAGAAGGTTGTGGGTTCAGTTCCCATTGGCCTCACATGTTTTCTGGGGCAGGGTTGGTTCTTGACCATCTAGAGATACCGTACCGCCCTGCAGGCCATCAGTAGCAGGAACTTAGCCACAGGTGGTGTTTGCCAGCCATTAACACCTCTGCTTGGTCCCACATAAGCAATGCTCGGTCCCACATCAGCGTGACAAGGGGCTGGTACTGCTGCGCTCGTGCATCTGTACCTGGCCCAGGGTACAGCTGTGCTCTTGCACCAGGAAACGTAACCTACCCCATGGGTCAGGGAGAGGTATGGGTTGGTTGGGGAGAGGATGAAATGAAAAAGGAGCGGGATCACGCAGAAGTGAAGAAAATGAAAAGCAAAGCGAGGGCGTAAGAAAAGAACAGCAATTGTGAAGTACAGAATGTAAGAAAGGAAGAACTCTGCAAGAGGAAAATCACACAAAATGCAAACCAAAAATGCAACAACAGCTAAATGTGGCAAACATGCTGTCTAATCATATCTACGAAGAATCAATGCATCTGGTCGGGGTTGGGAGGGTCGTAGGGATCGCATTTAGAGGGGCTTTGGGCTCAACTGAACTTCTTTTGACATCCATGATTGAATACTTGCTGAGATAACGGAAAATAGGATTAGAAGGGAAATTGACGAAGGTCCTATAGAATGCATGCATGCAGTATGCATGGGTTGCGACATGCATGCCTATGTGCACTTGCACAGTGTGCTACATGCACTACATGCTTGTGTGCGGTAGAAAGCTGAAAATTTCTGCGAAAGTTGTGCAACTGACATTAGACCCTGCAGTCTCTTTTCTGGGAAAAAGGGACAAAAAAGGAGGTGATCTCAAAGATGGCGCTCACAGGCCTTAACCGCTAGTACCTTTCCCAGCTATGGGCCGCGAGCCCTGCGTGCCGAGTTTCGGCGAGGCATCTGGATGCCCCCCGAGGCCGAGTGCGGCCTCTGTGTTAACCGGCACGTCTCGGCGTTTTGGCTGGGAAAGGTATTGGTGGTTTAAGGTGCTTCCGGCCTCTGTCGTGAGTTGCCTTGATGCTGATCAATTCATTGAGAAATCATGTTTGGGTACATTTGGGTAGACTGCCAATGTTATTCCAGTTCTTTAAGAGGGGTCCAGTGAAAACCTGAAACAAGAAGCATGTTTGGGTACATTTGGGTAGACTGCCAATGTTATTCCAGTTCTTTAAGAGGGGGCCAGTGAAAACCTGAAACAAGAAGAATGTAGGAGTACCTCTCTCAAAGTTTGTGTGACTGTCAAGGGTGATGATTTGGGATAGACTCCTGGACTCCATTTCCTTTTTTTCACAAATTCCACGTTTTCCTTCCTGCTGCCCGGTGAACATTGTGACATGTGTGCACTGTAAGTATGCTCCCAGCCTGAATAATCAGATCAGTTAGGCTGAGACTATGTGCATGCTTGATGTAGATTGCACACCAGGGCAAGTATGCCTCGGCAAGGTTTAATCATTATGTCAGGGTGCACATGGGCTGAATTTCGGATATGGTGGGTAATGGTTCTCTTTCATCTTTTTGGCCTCAAGTGAAAGGCGTAATCTCTCTCCCTTCGTCTTCCACGAAACTGATGATCTTCGTTCCACCTGGTTGTCGTGGTGTTCCCCCCTCTTGTTCTCGTTTCTCTTCAGTTCTCACACTTCTTGTCCTCGTCTTGCTTGGTTGTTGTCATCAATGTAGGGCTCGCATTTTGCTGGGAACATACCCCCAGCAACTGCGAGCATCCTCCTTTGTGCCTCTGCCACAGCGTTGGTGAAGCCCTTGGGGGTCACTTGCATTTGCAGCTGGCCTACCGGGGTATGCATGGCTGTGTAGGGTCTATCCTGAGCGTCCAGGGGGAGCTGATCGTATCCGGAGTAGAGATCTACCAGCGCCCAACCTTAACAAAAAGTAAAGCCAATGATGTTGCGATGACAGTTTGATTGCGTTTAGAAAATAGAGGGAGACAGATCAGATTGTCGATCTCTCCTCTCCCTCTTCTTGTTTGTTCCCTTTCTCCAGAACCTAAGAACATGTGTGACATGTCTATTGCTGGGAGTCTCCTTCTGCATGGCTGCCAGTCACATCAAGAACCACAGATATCAGCCATAGGTGCAGCCTCCTGGAATCCGGGAAGCTGTGAAGTACAGTGGCAGTTTAAGGGTTAGGCCTCTCTGTCCTGGCGAAAGCCGCTGACTATGGGCCTCGCGCCACCAGTCTCGACATGTGCAAAAGCCAAAAAAAAATGTTCTAGCGGAAGATTCACTCTCGTTTTGCACATTTTGAGAGTAGTGGAGCGAGGCCCTATGACCAGTGTTTTTTCGTTTTGTTCAATGCATGAAAATTAGTGTTGAGAGGTGGTTGTACTTTGGTAATGCTAAAATCGGAGTTGAAGCAACCTTGCTATGTGAGGACCATTCTTTATTTATTTTTTGCGAGGCGGTTTGGCATCTGGTCTGGGGGGATCGTAACAAGTGCAGAGAGCTTGCTTCGGGTACAGGTTCCCATAAGCCTTTGCAAATCGGTGCAAAAAGAGCAGGTTCTCCTCAATAGGGCACAATGTGGTTTTCGGAGAGTTTTTCAGAGAAATTTCATCCCACAGCATGCTTTCCAGAAACTTGTGGGCACAAATGATTCTGGCAAAGGCTCCCGAACCGTCAGGAAGTTTTTTTTTTTCCGTTGATATGCCCGATGTACCACGGATCAGATACTAAACTGGTCAGAACAGATACTACCCTTGATCTTAGCCAAAAGGCCGAGAAAGGCATGTCAGAAAGTTTTGGGGGAACCAGGAAATTGGCTTTTTTTGTTGGATTTTATACCGTGAACCCCACTGCCCTGGAAGCCGAGAATTGAACAATGTGTCCGACTGAAAAAAAAAACAGCTGTGGTAATGGGACGTCCGCTTGGGTGGATACCTGGTATGGTATCATTTTATTCAACAAGTAGTTGGTGGTTTTACTAGAACGCTAAAACCAAAAAAATGTGGAGGCATGTTGGGCACATAGATTTCTTTTCTTTTTTTTTTGTTTTTGAAGAGGCCGGGAAAACCTCGACATTTCAACCCGGAGGAAAAACTGGGGCCAATGCCCAGCTTAGGCTGGTGCTGGAAACCGGGTCCAGCGTCCCATAAAGCCTCTTTCAGCAAAAGAAAACAGCAACTGGACTAATTAATGATAAAAGACATAAAGGAACAAACTGGAGGGAAGAAGGAAGGTCCCTCATAGGGGGGAGGTGATGAACCAAAGGACACAGTCGGTAGCCTACTCAGGAGACTCCATTGACTGTGGCTTCTACTTTCAACAGCCACTTAGCAATTACCAATTTCCCACCGCTGTTGATGCTTGCAAAACAGTTCCCAAGCGCTCATGTCTTACTCACACAGAGTGGGCCCTTGGATTTCCATTCGCTGAAGACTGTAATCGGGATTTCCGCCAAAATGCGGTTAAACGTATGTTTGAGGTCGTTTCTTTCACCCTTGAAGAGGATATCATTTCTGCGCCGCCATATTGCTTCGAGAACAATGCCCCTGCAAGTGTGGGCTATGTAAACTGTTGTTTTGGTATGGAGGGTCAGAGGTCCTGATTTTACCGTGCGGGATGAAATCATCCATCCAATTTCTGGTGGGAGGTCCAAGAGCCTCCACCTTTCCTTGCACGATTCCCAGCAGGCCTTTGAATCCGGACAAAATCTCCATAGATGGGAGGCGTTCTCCCACACCAGTTGCATCTCGTGCAGGATTCAGCTACCTGCATACCTCGGGCCTTCAACCAGACTGCCGTTGCTGTGACCTGAAGTGATTGTAGCCAAAGTAGGGAAGCATTCCTTTGTGAGGGGAACTTCTTTAGCAGTTTCCAAAGATCCCTCATGCCTGTGTCGGAAATCTGAGTGCTCAGGGATAATTAGGCCCTTTTCCTTGCTGTAAGGTGGGTTTCTTTTTGTTCTGTCTCGTTGAACCCTCACCCCACACTTGGGTGTGTACTTGTATAAGGGGGTGAATTCTCCTTCTGGTGTTAGGGACCGGTTCCTGGATGTGATTTCTCTACCCTATGAGGAGAGGTTCCACTTTCAGGTTTACCATTCTCATCGGGAGTAGGGCGCATACCTGTTTTTTGTTCTGGACTGCTTCCAGGACTCCAACCTCCTCACAGTCCGCTGTGGAGGGTGTAAGAGTCTCCTCCATGAATTTGAGTTAGTGTCTATTTTTTATTCAGCATTGGTTGCTAGACCTGGACCTTCGTGCCCGGTCTTAGGTCCGGGCCTAAGACTTTCCAGATTTTGTCGCCATCCCCCGGCTCCCTTAACCATGAGCCTGGGGCATACTCTGATTCTGACTTGAGGGCGGAAGCCCAGTGGGGCGGGATGCTCTCTAGGATCTTATTGTAATTTGCATTTAGATTGTGCAGCCTTGGGAGTTTCGCCCTGAGATCGTCACAGGAGAGCCAGTCCCCTGTGAGAGGGTCCCAGATGTCTCTTACTTGGATTACCCCTTTTTCTATCCATGATCTCCCAAAGGCGCTCGGGCTGGAGTCTGCTAAGGAGGGGCCGTCCAGCGGGTGGTTGACCCACAGAGCTTGAAGGGTTCTGGGAGTATGAACGCTGATTTTTCCCAGTTTATGGA